TCTAGCTGCTGCATGACCCAGAAGTCATGAAGTAGCAACGTGGAGACTGATCTATTGTTACAGAGCAGTTCCCACAGTGCTAGAGTCTGGATCTTGAATGTCCCTAGAGGCCATGTGTTGAAGGTTTGATCTTCATTTTTGCATTCATGGAAGGTGGCAGGGTCTTTGGGAAAGAGTTCTACCAAGAGGTCTTTGAGTCATTGGGGGCTTGCCCACAAGTGGGATTGTGGGACTGTGGCCCTTCATCATTCTTTTGCTTTCTGGCCATGAGGTGAGTGGTTTTGCTCTACCACACACTCCCACCATAATGTACTATCTTGCCATAGGTCCAAAACAATGAAGCCAATGGGTCATGGACTGGCACCTTCAAAACTAAGCCAAGATAAACCTTTCTCTTTATAAGTTGATTGTCTCAGATGTTTTGTTATAGTGATGGAAATCTGACCAACATTACAATAAGCAAATGTAAATAATGCACACATTCTTTTCACCATGCAAGGACAAGGTACTATTTAATCTTAATAAGGATTACAGTATTTGCAAAGACTAACCAATCATTCTTGAGAAGCTGTATCATGCTGGCCTGGGACTAGTGGGAAGTAGAAAGACCAGTTTCTCATCTTGTTTTATGTTGATGAGATCAGTCCATCACAAAACATAAGGCACTTGACAGCACCTTCCAGCCGCACCAGGGAGCAGCAGCAGCTAAAATGCTCCCCAAGCACCTGTATCTGTTCAATCTCTCTCTCTCTCTCTCTGGAACCTGTCATTCCAGTTTAATAACAAGAAAAACATCAGACACATCCTAAACATGGGATATCTTACAAAATATCTGAATACTGTTCCTGAAACTGTCAAGATCCTCAGAAAATAGGAAGTCTGAGAAACTATTAGAGCCAGCAAGAGCCAAGGAGGCATGACAATTAAATGTGATGTGGGGTTCTGGATGGGATTCAGGTAAAGAGACAGAACATTTGAGTGAAACTGAGGTAATCTGAATAAAGTATGAAGTTTAGTTAGTAATACCGTATCAGTATTGGTTCATTAGCTGTGACAAATGAACCATACTAATGAAAGATGCTAAGAAAGGATAAACTGGCTGTGGGGAAAATGGGAATTCTTTATACTACTGTCACAACTTCTCTGTGCATCTAAAACTATTCTAAAACAAATACAAATATTATTTAAAATAATGCTGCCTATGGAGATAACTATCAGACAGAAGTCTGGTGCCCATCTATCCAACCAGCAAGATGATAATTAAGCTTAAGAAGGAAGGTCTATGGCCAGGGATTTAGCTCAGTGGCACCATGCCTGACTCACAAGTAAAAGGTCCTTAGTTTGAGCACTGGTACAAAAAAAAAAAAAAGAGGAGGAGGAGGAGGGTCTTCCTGGCTTTCCCCACAGGTTCTTGGGAAGCATCATGCCAAGTGAACAATGAGCAGGAAGTTTTCTCTGTGATAACAAGCACTCCCTCCCCCAAGCTTGGGACCATACACATCACACTGCACACCCTGGTATGGCATTTAATGCTCCATACATCCATACATCTGATTATTAAGTCAGTGTGTCCCAGAAGGTCTGATTCCCTCATGGCCAGAAGTCTTCTCTGGTGCCAGTTTCTCTGTGCTCACCTGACTCACCTTGCCTGCTGTATACAATCACCCAAAAGACCTCCAGTTTTTTATGTCCACCCAGTCAGGCAGCAGGACCAGCCCCTTTAGTCCCCCATGGCTCTGCCACACATCCTTTCTGCTCCTGGGAGCTCAAAGACTTTCAATGCCCACAGAGCGAGGTGTAAGCATCCATTAAAGAGAGTTAAGGAACTTGACACAGAGAGTGTAAGGTTGGGAGTAGTAATAACATTAGTATAAACAGTAACAATGACATCAGGAATACAGCTTGAGAATCCCTAATCCCAAAATCTAAAATACTCCAAAAATCTGACTTTCTGAGCCTGGGACATTTATGCCCATACCAGCAATGGTACAAGCTGTCCAATGAGACATTCATGCATGTACTTCTGGTGGTTCAATCTGGCAGGAACATGTTAAAACACTGTATAAAATGGGGCCAGGGATTTAGCTCAGTGCCACTATACTTGCCTCACAAGTACAAGGTCCTGAGTTCATTCCCCAGTACCAAAAAAGTGAAATAAATATTAAAAAAAATAAAATATTGCATAAAATGTCTTTCCAGGGGCCAAGGATTTCATTCAGTGGTGTCATCACCTGCCTCACAAGTGCAAATTCCTGAGTTTGAGCCCTGGAACCAAGAAAAAAGTCTTTCTAGCTATAGGAAACATAAATGAATTCTGGTTTGTGTCCCATTCCCCAACATATCTCATTGTGTATATGAAAGTATTACAAAATTTAAAAAATATCTGAAATCCAAAACATTTCTGGCCCTAAGCATTATGGATAAGGACATATGACTTGTAATAATAGCTACTCCCATTAAGTGAGAGCCATATATTCCTAGGATACTTCTACTTCTCACGTTGTAGAATTTATCACATTATCTCAGTCAGGATGTAACAGAAACCATTTTCAACAGATAGAATTGAATGCAAGGATTGGTTTTCCAGGTGGTGAAGGAAAAGGAGAAGACTGATGAAGTAACCCAGAGATTAGTAGCAACAGGAAGTACCGACCAGCTCAGGTTTAGGGGACCAAGAGAGAAAGCAGTGCAACTGAGCCTGGGAACCGGAAGCAATAACCATAGAGAAGATCCTCCCACCTGCCACTTTTTCTCTTGTATTTGCCACCTGCTAAAGCCAACCAGAGCTGGCTGATGTAGGGGCTGGAGAAACAGACCATCTGTCCCCCGACCCACCCTTGCTGTGATGCAGAGCAGAGCAGGAGGCCCAGGAAAGGAACATGCCCTTCAGAGAAACTGCCTGTTAATCACTGCATGCTGCACACAACTGTGACAAGCTGTGTCTGTCTCCGTCATATCTGGGTCTTCAGCTCCAAGCACATTGCCTGGCATATGGTTTTCACTGAAATATATGTTAAAACTGAATAAAGCATTTAACCCTTGGTTTTCAGATAAGGAAACTGAGATTCAGGGATGCTAAAAATGTTGCTCCAGTGCACAAGGTTCTGAGTGAAGATAGTCTTGCCTGATATGCACGACAAAATCAGAGTCTGTCTCCTGCCTGCACCATGAATTTTTTCTTGGGAGGGGGGTGCTGGAGATTGAGACCAGGGTCTATCAACTGAGCTCCCAGCCACTTAAAAAATTTTTTTAAAAAAATTCAAAACAGGATCTTGTCCAGACTGAGCTGGAACTTGAAATCCTCCTGCCTCAGCCTCCCACTGTTGGCATTCTAGGTGTGCACCACCATTACTGTATGCAGAGTAGACAAAGGTGTAGAAGGGAATAATAGGAAGAATATTGGATCCCTGGCAGAGCCAGAGTAGACATGAGTCGGGGAAACCACATATATGGGTATAACCAATCAGAAAAATGAGTGTAAGTCTTTTCTGGACATGCTGATCTCTGAGTGCTAAGGCCACTTACCAACATAAAAGCAGGAGTTGTGATTTCCCTTGGTGTACAGAAGGGGGCAGTTGGGAAGAACTCACTCTTTCCTGACCCCAGGAAATAGGCTTGCTCCTCTATTTTTAGCCCTACATCCCTTCCAGAGATGGTGCAACGGGACATGAGGATGGCTTGATATGAACAGAACCATGCTATCATCATTTCCTACATAAATCCACTTTAAAAGAAAACTGTGGCCCACACCATAGCAGGCTAGAATCCAGGCAAACCTGCCCACAGCCGGAGATTAGTATTCTTGTTGCATTGTGTCGTTGTAGCATGCAATGAAAGTTTTCAGCAGGCAGCCAGCCAGCTTTCAGTCTCCAGGCTGACAGCAGCAGGTCACAGCATCACTGGCAGGCAGGAGAGGAAGAGTTAGAGACCCTTGTGC